ATTTAATATAAATGATTTATTACTAGATCTCAACTATTTAAAGGTGTATCATTCAGACTTTTATACCTTAGTGTAAGTTTTTTAAAATATAAGCACAATGTATAAGGTAAAAAGTATGTAAAAAATATTAATATTATAATGAATATAAATTGGACTCATTTTAGCAGTTATCCAGTAAGCATTTATCATTATTTTAATTTAAATGTGTTATACAGTTAATATTCACAGGGCTCTTTACAATTTATCATATAATTTGCATTATTAGTCCATTTTTTATTATTTTGGTTTACTAAATATTATATTAAGGAAATCTACACAGTACTAGTATATAAAAAAAAACAATAACAAATTACTTAAAGTTTACAAAATAAAACATTCTTATTAATGGTTTTGAATGAAACTTTTAACCTTTTCATAAAAATTATTGATTATTTGTATATAAAGATTTGTGGTTCAAACAACTGACTGTGTAGTACAACAATCTTGATACACATAAACAACCCTAATAGTAAATGTTTCTGAAATTTTTATGTGTTTATATTTTTAGCAAAACTAACATGTATGATTTTGTACATTCCATAAAGTTTATATAACCAGTTGGCTATAATGATCAGTCTTCTGCAGAGTCCACTGAAGTTTTTCTGTTGAGTTTAGGATTTATTCTACCAACATGCTTAGGATTTTTCATACCCAAGTTATCTGTTGAGTTTTGGAACTGTACGAAATGCTCTACTAGCAGTAGCCTAAAAGAAAATGGGTTTAAATTCTCTAACTGGAAGCCTTTATAGTGACACTTATGAGTGATGTGTTTAAAAACATAATCAGTCATATAGTGATACTTCTTAAATTTTATGTAATTTCTAATAAGCACATTTTGTTTAACTCTTTCAGCATGGGCTCAGTCCCTGGGACCGACCTCGTAGCCATTCTGTGCTTGTTATAGTTTTCATGTTATAACTTTTAAGTTAGTAAGTGAATGTTAACAAAATTTGGCAGATTATCAGTAAACATTACAATGCTTTCATATGCAATGTTCTTCTCATGCCTTTTTTTCTTTTCACATGTTGCCTATCTATCATGCAAAGTAATATTCATTTTAAGATTAAAAATAGTTTAATGCATCAAAAAAATTTGAAATTTCACACACAAAATCTTTAT